GGCTTTGCGGGCAGCTGCACCCCCTCACCCCTGCACCCACTGTGAAAAGCGCACTCTGGCCTATCTCAGAGCCACAGAGGTGGGTAAGGCAGCCGAGGCTTGCTGAAATAAAGAGCAAACACGGAGACAGGGAAGTAACCAAGAATCGCTAAAGAGGGAATTAGCACCTTCATACTAAACCACTAAGAACAGACAGAGTGGCCCATAGGGACCCCACACTGTCGAAGGCCCGGAGGATAAAAGATAACTCAGGATGGTGGCAGAAGGACCCCGGGCCAGCCCCGATCCGTGCCATCTTCGCACCTTATGGACCTCGGTGACTTCAGGCGGGCCTCCCCTCTCTCCCACATGCACCTAACTGTGCCCCCGAACATCACTGTGAGAACTGAGTGAACCGATAAACACAGAAGCTTTACTCCCACAGTGCGAGGTGCAAGCCTGTTGGTAGTGTTACTGCGAGCGGCTCATTTTTCTTAGGANACTACCATAGTGCGAGGTGCAAGCCTGTTGGTAGTGTTACTGCGAGCGGCTCATTTTTCTTAGGAGTGTGGTTTACTTTTAATCATGTTGTGGTTGGGCTATTCAAGTTGCATGAGGAAAACAGGATGCCTATGCACTAAGTGAATAAAGAAATAGGATTGTATACAAAAGGTCCAGAAGCTCTGTCGCTCCTGGCCTGGGGCACTGCCTGCAGCCGGCTGTGCAGGGAGGGCAGGGGGAGAGTTCAGGGGCGCCTAAGGACCCTCTTTACACCCCTTATTCTAAAACAGATAGAAACATCTCAGCAGCTGGGGGGAAACTGTCTAGGAGCCACCATCCTGAACATTTATTTTGAGCCTATACTGCACACTGAGGTGCCCACTGTCCCCTCCTCAAACTTACGTCTCTAAATATTAAAAACACACACAAGATGTTGGACATTTTTCAAGTTTTCTGAGATGCCAATGATAAGTATCAACACGCGCTGGCTTAGAATTAACCCTGGGTCATCCTGCATATATTTTCCATGTGAAACCAAATTGAGGAAAATATTTTAAACAATCTGAGTTTATATCCTGCTTTAAATTCATGCTGTGGGGCTTAAACAAAACTGAATCCTTTACCCACCCCCTAGCTGCAAAAATACTATTTATTTTTCTTGCAAATGGACCATATACGAGGGTAAAACAAATGTCTTTCTGTCTTGAGATGTATATATCTTTCCTGGCCAAACTCCCCAAAGCCAAACATCTAACAGAATGACTAATATCACCCTTGCCTGAAAAAAAAAACAAAAAACAAAAAAACCTTTAGCTCTCATCAAGCAGAAATCAGGAGATCTAGATTCTAGACCCAGTTTGGCCATGACCTAGCCTGGGGGCTGTTGTCTCTCCAGCTCTCTGTTCTTTCTCCCTGTTTAGTGAACGCGTGGGGTGGGCTTGGGAATGGGAGAGGAGTTGATCTGAAATCCCACCCAACTCTAAAATCCTATGACTCCAGATCAAAACATATTCAAACAATCGCAAGACCTTGTACAAATACATTGTAATATTGACTTAAAACATTGCAAGAAGTCTTCTCTGCAATGCCCTCTTAAAAGGAAACCCCTGATTTCTGATTTTGACCTGAGGAGTGTCAATCTTATTTTTCTCATCAATCCCTTTCATGTAGCAACATCCCCACCTGCTGCTAAAGGTGAGAGGTGTTTGGTAAAGGTTCCATGGCCTGAGCACAAACCAGGGTACCAGAAGAGAGTCCCTCCTCCACTGTATTCCTTTCTGAAGGAGGGTAGAGCTCTGATGCTGAGAACTCCTTCTTCCCACCCATAAGGCCTTAT